ATCAGTAAAGTAACACAGAGATCAGTACTAGTAACACAAATGATCAGTAAAGTAACACAAAAAGATCAGTACGTACAGTAGCACAGAAGATCAGTACACTAGTAACAACAGAATATCAGTCAGTAACATAAGAAGATCAGTACAGGTAACATAGAAGATCATACAGTTACAGTAGCACAGAAAGATCAGTAACACTTGTAACAAGAGATCCAAGTACACAGTAAACCACAGAAGAAAAGATCAGTTACAGTAACATAGAGAATCAGTAACAGTAAAACACAGAAGATCAGTACAGTACAGTAGCACAGAAGATCAGTACACTAGTAACAAGAAGGATCAGCTTAAGTAACATCAGAAGATCAGTACAGTAGTAGAAGATCAGTTACAGTACCACAGGAAGATCAGTTACAGTAAACAAAGATCAGTACAGTATCACAAGAAGATACCGTACAGTAAGTAACACCAGAGATCAGTTCAGTTAACCACAGAAGATCCAGTACCAGTAACGCAAGGAAGATCGTACAGTTACACAGAAGGTCAGTACAGTACAGTGCACAGAAGATCAGTACACTAGTAAAACACAGAAGATCAGTACAGTAACTACAGAAGATCAGTGCAGTAACACAAAAGTATCACAGTATAAAGTAACACAAAAGGATCAGTAACAGCTTAGTTACCACAGAAGATCAGTCCAGTAGTACACAGGGAGATCAGTACAGTAACACAAAAGACCAGTACAGTAACATAGAAGATCAGTACAGTACAGTAGCACAGAAGATCAGTACAGTAGTAACACAGAAGATCAGTAACAGTACACAAAAGACCAGTACAGTAACATAGAAGATCAGTCTGTACAGTAGCAAGAAGATCAGTACAGTAGTAACACAGAAGATCAGTACAGTAACACAAAAGACCAGTACAGTAACATAGAAGATCAGTACAGTAGTAACACAGAAGATCAGTACAGTTCTAACACAGAAAGATCAGTACAGTACAGTAGCACAGAAGATCAGTACAATAATAACACAGATCAGTACAGTAACACAGAAGATCAGAACAGTACAGTAGCACAGAAGATCAGTACAGTAGTAACACAGAAGATCAGTACAGTAACACAGAAGATCAGTACAGTACAGTTAACCACAGAAAGAGTACAATAACAAGAAGCGTAAGCAAAACGAAACACAGAAGAGTACAGCTACAGTAACACAGAAGAGTACAATCAGTAATACCACCGTGGCTACGTCAGGGAGGCTGGAGTGGGAATAACATCACCGTGGCTACTGTCAGGGAGACTGGAATGGGAATAACATCGCCGTGGCTACTGTCTCAGTGAGGGAGGAGTGGGAGTAAACATCACCGTGGCTACTGTTCAGGGAGACTGGATGGGAATACATCACAGTGGCTACTGTCAGTGAGAGGATGTGGGAAATACCATCGCCGTGGGCTACCTGTCAGGGAGGGACTGGAATGGGAATAACATGCCGATGGCTACAGTCAGGGAGGCTGGAATGGGAAAATAAACATCGCGTGGTACTGTCAGGGAGGCTGGGTGGAATAACATCAACCGTGGCACTTGTCAGGGAGACTGGAATGGGAATAAACATCGCCGTGGCTTACTGTCAGGGAGGGACTGGAATGGGGAATAACATCGCCGTGGCTACTGTCAGGGGGCTGGGAGTGGGAATAACATCACCGTGGCTCTGTCAGGTGGACTGGAATGGGAATATTAATAAACATCGCCGTGGCTACTGTCAGGGAGGTTGGAGTGGGAGTAACATCACCGTTGGGCTACTGTAGGGAGACTGATATGGAATAACATCACCGTGGCTACTGTCAGGGGGCTGGGCAATGGGAATAAAATCACCGTGCTACGGACAGGGAGGCATGGCTGGAGTATGGGAATAACATCACCGTGGCTACTGTTCCGGGAGACTGGAATGGGGAATTACATGCCGTGGATCATTCAGGGAGGTTGGAGTGGGATGTAACATCAGCCGTTGGCATACTGTTCTGGGAGACTGGAATGGGAAAAATAAACATCACCGTGGCTACTGTCAGGGAGGTGGTAATGGGAATAACATTCAACCGTGGCTACTTGTCAGGGAGAATGGGAATGGGAAATAACATCACGTGGTTTCTGTCAGGGGAAACTGGAGTGGGAAATAAACACCACCATGGCTACTGTCACAGGAGGTTGGAGAGGGAGTAACATCACCGTGGCTACTGTCAGGGAGACTGGAAATGGGAATAACATCCACAGTGGCTACTGTCACGGAAGGGAGGAGTGGGGATTAACATCAGTGGCTACTGTCAGGGAAACTGGAAGTGCGGAATAAAACACCACCATGGCTTACAGTCACGGAGGTTGGAGTGGGGAGTAACATCACCCGTGGCTAATGTCAGGAGACTGGAGGGAATAACATCACAGTGGCTACTGTCAGGGAGGGAGGAGTGGGAAAATAACATCACAGTGGCTACTGTCAGGAGTCTGGAATGGGATAACATCGCCGTGTTTCTGTCAGGGAAAGGGAGTGGGAATAACACACAATGGCTACTGTCACGGAGGTTGGAGTGGGAGTAACATTCACCGTGCTACTGTCAAGGAGGTGGCAGTGGGAATAACGCCACCGTTGGCTACTGTCAGAGAGGTGGAAGTGGGAATAACATCACCGTGGCTACTGTCTTCGAGAGGCTGGGGTGGGATAACGAACAACCGTGGCTACTGTCCTAGATAGGCCTGGGAGTGGGAATAACGCACCGTGGCTACGTCAAGAGAGGCTGGAATGGGAATAACATCACCCGTGGTACTGTACGAGGGAGAGTGGGGATAACATCACCGGGCTACTGTCAGGGAACTGGAGTGGGAATAACACCACGTCGGCTATGTCAGGAGGGAGGGAGTGGGGATAAACATCACCGTGGTACTGTCAGGGAAAATGGTGTGGGAATAATAACCACCATGGCTACTGTCACGGAGGTTGGTAAGTGGGAGTAAAACATCACCTTGGCTACTGTCAAGGAGGGGCTGGAGTGGGAAAAAACGCCACCGTGGCTACTGTCAGAGAGGCTGGGAGTGGAAATAACATCACCGTGCTACTGTCAGGGAGGTTGGAGTAGGGAATAACGCCACCGTGGCTACTGTCAGGGAGGCTGGAGTGGGAATACATCACCGTGGCTACTGTCAGGGAGGTTGGAGAGTGGGAAAATAAACGCACAGTAGGCTTACTGTCAGAGAGCTGGAGTGGGAATAATCATCACCGTGGCTACTGTCAGGGGAGGCTGGAGTGGGGAATAACATCACCGTGGTTACTGTCAGGGAGGCTGGAAGTGGGAATAACGCCACAGTGGCTACGTCAGGACGAGGCTGGAGTGGGAATAACATCACCCGTGGCTACTGTCAGGAGGCTGGGATGGTAATAACGTCACCGTGGCTACTGTCAGGGACGCTGGAGTGGGAATAACATCACCGTGGCTACTGTCAGGGAGGCTGGAGTGAGAATAACGCCACCGTGGCTACTGTCAGGCTTTGCTAGCTGTAAATAAAGCATTACCACATATGTGCATATGTAGGTGTGTGTGTGTGTGTGTGTGTGTGTGTTGTGTGTGTGTGTGTGTGTGGTGTGTGTGTGTGTGTGGTGTGTGTGTGTTGTGTGTGTGTGTGTGTGTGTGTTTGGTGTATGTGTGTGAGTGTGTGAGTGTGTGTGAGTGTGTGTGTGTGGTGTGTGTGTGGGTGTGTGTGTGTGTGTGTGTGGTGTGTGTGTTGTGTGAGTAGTATGAGGTGTGGATGTATGAGTGTGTGTGTGTGTATGAGTGTGTGTGTGTGTATGAGTGTGGTTGCGTGTGTGTGTATGAGTTTGTGTGTGTGTGTGTGTGTGTGTGTGTGGTGTGTTTATGTGTGTGTGTATGAATTGTATGTGTGTGTGTGTGAGAGAGAGAGACACAGCAATCAACATTGCACCAATAATTCACTACAGTTGTGACCGGGTGTGGAAGTGTGAATTGCTCATTACTCTAAAATTTGTTCATGATTGCAGCCATGTACAAACGTAAGTAACCATTCTTACAGTATTCATTACCTTTGTAACTTGTGAGTTCATTACCTTTGTAACTTGTGAGTTCATTACCTTGTACCTAGTTCAGCCATCAAAACTTTGGAGCCCGGTCCCTGGACCCATTGTGTACCTCTGTAATCTGTAAATACCTTTGTAACTTGTCATGATTGTGACTAGACCTACCTGGAGTTCATTACCTTTGTGAGTTCATTACCTTTGTAAATTGTGAATTCATTACCTCTGTAACTTGCTCAGCTATCAAAACTTTGAGGCCCAGTCCCTGGACCAATTATGTACCTCTGTAATCTTTTGACTACCGCCCACAGGATGGGTATGGGGTGCATAATAAACATATTAAACTAACTGGCTACTGTCAGGGACGCTGGAGTGGGAATAACATCACCGTGGCTACTGTCAGGGAGGCTGGAGTGGGAATAAGACCACAATAGCTACTGTTGAGGTCGACGCTTTTGAATCCAAATCATGAATAGTAATTAATAATAATAACAATAAAATTATTTGCGACCACTGTCAGCCTCAGAGTTATCTCTGAGTTACCAGACCTTGCCACGTGGAGGCCAGTGGTTCGTCTTTAAGGTCCCCCCCCCCCCTCGCCTTCCCCAGGTTCATGTGTCCAGGAATCCATCCGTGGGCCCCCGGATGTCTCCCCTTTCTCAGTTCCCTAAGGTCAGCCTCCCTCTCCTCTCTCTCTCTCTCTCTCTCTCTGCCTTCCAGCCTCAGCCTTCCCCAGGTTCATGTGTCCAGGAATCCATCCGTTCGCTCCCGGATGTCTCCCCTTCCCCACTTACCCAAGGTCAGCCTCAACCACAACCTTCCCCAAGTTCATGAATCCAGGAATCCATCCGTTCGCTCCCGGATGTCTTCCCTTCCCCACTTACCTAAGGTCGGCGGTGCCTTCCCCGGATCAGTGTCTCCAGGAGTCTGCTTGTGTCACCTGAGTGGACTCCCTTCCCCACTTCCTCAGAGTCAGCGGTATTCTTGCTTTCCTTAGGATCATGTATCCAGGAATCCATCCGTCTACCGCCGGATGTCTCCCCTTCCCCACTTACACAAGGTCAGCCTCAACTGCATGTATTCATGCCTTCCCCAGGTTCATGTATCCAGGAATCCATCCGCTCGCTCCCGGATGTCTCCCCTTCCCCACTTACACAAGGTCAGCCTCAACCACAACCTTCCCCAAGTTTATGAATCCAGGAATCCATCCGCTCGCTCCGGATGTCTTCCGTTCCCCACTTACCTAAGGTCGGCGGTGCCTTCCCCGGATCAGTGTCTCCAGGAGTCTACTTGTGTCACCTGAGTGGACTCCCTTCCCCACTTCCCCAGAGTCAGCGGTGCCTTCCCCGGATCAGTGTCTCCAGGAGTCCCTATGTCACCTCAGGTGGACTCCCTTCCCCACTTCCCCAGAGTCAGCGGTTGCCACCTTCAGTGACCTCGCTGCATGGAAACTTGGTCTTGTCTAGCTGGTCTAACGTAGAACTGTCCCAGGTGGGTGGAATTACTGTAGGTGACACACACAGAAAACTGCGTCCAGTAATTTCACCCCCCCCAAGACAGCCTGGACCGTAGGTCAGCAACGCCACCAAGCTCCTCACATTTCCGCCACCTCCGAAGGCTAATTAACGTAAATTTTGGAAATCCTTTTATATTAAAAGTATGAATTAAGTCTAAGTACGAGATTTTCCCGATTTTTTTTTTAAAAAGA